CCGAAGAGTAGGGATTAAGGCCGGATCCTCAGTCTGTATATAGTCAAGACCTTAAATGGGCTGAAAAAACACAAGTCTATACAACCAAACAATAAACAAAACAAAACAAAAACAAAAAAAAAGAAGCAAAAGAACAACAACCAAAGCGAAAAGTCTAAGTCTGGGCTGACAGATGCCCAGGCAAGCAATCTGCACCACGAGTAGGCTAAAGCACAAAAAGTACAGAACGACTACCCAAATCTGAACGATGGGTAGCCAATATGATCCATTCGCACCACAGTACAGAGGCAGAGAGGAGCGTCGTCCGAGTGAAAAATGCGCCTCTAGAGAGTGGAGGCACCGATGGAAGCGAGGAAGTCAGCGAGTCGATTCCCCTCGCGGAAGATGTGCGAGATCTGGTAGCGAACCGACCGAAGTGTAGATCTGATGTGCATGAGCGGGTGCTGAATATGCCACGAGCCCTGATGGCTCGAGGTCAATAGGGTGGCGACAGCGACAGCATCCAGTCAATCCAAATGTGAGAAGAGATAGAGGTTGCAATCTGAAACGCCTGAATCTCCGCGACAAAAATATAGGAGTCCTGAAGTGAGGCGTGGAAGGCAGTAATAAGGGCTCTGCTGTGATCCCTGATCAGGCCTCCGCCTCCACGGCTCTGGTGAGTCGGTTGAATGATTCGTCAGTGTTTAGCTTAACCCAAGGGGGGTCAGGTCTCAGCCAAACAACGACTCTGGGTCGTGGGTGCTAGATAGGCGGCAGCGTAGAAGGCATGAAACGGTGAGGTGGTGTGCAGCCTGTCCAGTCTCTAGGCGCGAGTCTGTCCAGAGCTGTGAGTAGAGAGAGGTGTTGATCAACCTACAAAACAATGTGAGAGCATATAAAAGTAATATCCCTATGTTTCACTCTATTCCTCTCTGTCCAGATGAACCACAGGATCAGACAAACAATGAGGAAGCCCACGTGTCTAAAGTGTGTGTGCTATGAGAAAAAACTAACGAGCACAAAGAAACTGTTTGTAGTGGGAAAGGTTATATGAGTATATGTGAAAAATGCCCCACACTCTCCTCGCAACCTCGCTCTATAAAAACAAATAAAAAAAAGTCTTAGTCTGGAAATCACCGGTCTCGATACAACAATAACACCGCGAGGAGAAAGAAACCCCTCTCGTCTGCAACGCACAGTCAATCGGAATCCGACGAAAGCACCAAAGAAAGACATAGATGGTTGAGGTAAGCAGGTCGATCCAAATAGCTCCGAAGAGAAGGTTTGGCCGATCATCCTGCCGAACTTCCCCTCAAGCTGAGGGTGTAGAGAAAGCACCGGAAGATGTAAGTCTCCACCTTATACCGTCCAAACCGTCCAACGAGATGAGAATCTGCTCTAAAAGATGGTCACTAAAACCACTCGAGTACCCAAAACCATCTCTAACCTATCCCTATCCCACGTCTTATTAGTCCAAAGTTCCTTCACCATCAGAGAAGGGGAGTAGGTGACCTGTCTAGTGCTCGAAAAGGGCCCCTCACCAAACCACCACTCGTCCCAAAAGCTAGCATCCCCCTCACCCAACGTCCAGAAGATGTGCTCCTGGGCACGCCTACCTACCCTGGTGAGCCGCCTCCACTGTCTACTATCACGGTTGGTGGTCGTCACCCTTCAGGGATGACAGGCACCTCTAGAGCAGTACTTCCCGCGAAGGTACGGAGCCCAAAGAGACTTACCCTCCCTGAAGTGCCACCTCATCTTGTAAGAGAAAACAGCGATTACGTCCGAAAAGCGGTGGATCCCAAGGCCACCCTTGGAAAAAGGCCGACAACGAAGTCCCACTTCACTAATGTTGTTGTCTCTCCCACTGGGAGCCCTCCCCGTGTCCCCAAAAATAATAAGCCATGATCTAATCGAGCTCATAGAGAGTGGACTTAAGGGGGTCCAAGACCATAAAGAGATGAATCGGAAGGGCGTTGAGGATACTTTTATCAGCGCGAGCCGACCCCCAAAAGAGATATGTTTCTGCGACTAACCAGAGATACAATCGATCTTCCTCTTCATGATGTCTGCAAAGAGCGATCTCGTGAGATGGCTGTTGTCAGTATTTTTACCGGAGTAGAATCGAAAGATTCGTCCCCGGGTCGTATCGCAAAGAAGGTTAGCCGGATACTCTTGTGCGTTTATTCAATCACGAAAAAGCGAAAACAAATTCCTAAACACTCTAATTCAATATTTTTGAGTTTCAATTATCAACTACTGATTTAAACTAAATAAAATGAAGGTAAAATAGCAAATGAATTTACTGAGTGATTAAAGTGCTAGGGAATCGAGGATAATTGCTTTCGGTTCTATCACGATTACCGGCAATCAATTGCTCGGTTAAAGGACTTGAATTGTTTCTCGTTCAGAGGTTCACTCTCAATAACTCTTCGTAACAAGAGAGTGAATGTAAACGATCAACTATCAATTCCAACAACACATAGATAATACGTTTCCGAACAAATCTATTCTAAACGAGCCTAATTCGACCAACGTCTCCCCTCTCAGTTCTACACGTTGATTATCTAGGTTACAAAGGTGATCAATCTACTAACCCTATGATTCACACAACTCGAATAGATAAGAACAATCAAAGGCACTCAATTATAACGAACCTAATCAATCATCCTCTATCCTTAGCGAATGGATTTCGCTATTCATAACGAATTTAACATCAACATTCATATAAACCCAAGTCATCATCATCAACAAAGCAATTGAGAAAAAGAACTTACGATTAATATAAAGAATCCAACGTCAAATCCAAGTGCATCCAAATCCAAAGCAAGAAATAGGAGTTTTTCAATCTCCAAAACAAATCAAAAGTGCAAAAGGATGAAAAGGAATGAGTTTCTCTAGAGAAAAAGCGTAAAAAACAAAGTCTGGAAGTGAATAATGAACCCTATGATCGAAATCAGCTCTAAAAATCCCGTCCTCCAAATTCACGCTGGTTAAGTCGCGAGTCGCGAGATCGTCTTCTTCTCGGTCGCGAGTCGCGACATCCTCGCGAGTCGCGCGTCGTCAAAATGTAAACTTCTGGGGTTGGGTCGCGACATAACTCGCGAGTCGCGACAGCATCTCGCGAGTCGCGATATCATCTCGTGAGTCGCGACTCGTTCTTCGAAAATCCTCTTAAGCCCCAGTTTTTTTCCGCGAGCCGCGACATGTTCGCGAGTCGCGAGAAATTCTGGGCGCGTGTTTCTGTCCATCTTTCAGTCTTCTTCGTCGTCTTCTGGGCTCGGCCACGGAAATTCTCAATATCGCGGTCTCGGCTCAAGCAGTCCCAACTCGACCGGTACAATCTATCTCCTGAAAACACAAAAACAAAGAAAAACACGAAGCAAAACATGGCAAAAAGACACACAAATATAAACTAAAGAGAAAAACACAAAACGAACAAAATGGACCAAATAAACAACGAAAAACCTACAAATGGGGGAAAACAAAAAGAAAATAAGCATGAAACAAAGACACAAAAACGGGACAAACAATGGCCCTTGTACAAAGGGGCGCCAAGGTAAGTGATTAGGAGATCGTCACGCGCGAAACTAGTACGCTCGTGGACCCGCTACGCCCACCGGTCCGCAACAGGCAGGGAGAGAATGAAGGTGCTCTTCTGCACACTAATGAACTTGCCGGTGACCGAGCCATAGCGCTCCAAAAGATGCATAAGCTCTACCAGTTCATCATCATTTGCATGAGTGAAGATAATGATGTCATCCTCATAAGAAATGTGAGAGATGAGAGGACTATAGCCGAAAAGGTTGTAGGTCATCCTCGGGTTATCACGGATGAATGCGTCAAGGCAATGAGAGAGGTAATACTCCGCCAGAACAAAAGGCGAGGGGAAGAGGGGGTCTCTCTGTCGGAGGCCCCAAGAAGAAGAGAAGAAATTGGTGGGGCTGCCATAAACCAAAAAAAAAAAAAAATGTGCAATGTTCCACACATGCCTCCACAAAACTGATCCACCACTCAGGGAAGCCCACTGGACCAGTAGCTCTCTGAGAAAAGGCTACTCGTCCCTATCATACGCCTTCGTCATGTCTAGCTTCAACACAAGGTTCGAGACTCACAACCGATCCACATGGGAGATGTCGTAGATCATTTCCTGGGGCAGAAGGATGTTATCACTAATGACTCGATCTTTGACAAAACCACTCTGGTTCGGAGATATGAGAGAAGGAAGGAGAGAGAGAAGGCGCCCATTAAGAATTTTGGGAATGAGCATGTTGGTCACATTACAGAGGCTGATAGGCCTGTAATCCAACTAAGAGCTTGGGCAAAGTTTTTTGGGGATCAAAATGACAGAGGTAGCCATGAAAGACTCCGACATCTGGTGTCCAGAGAAGAAATCTAAAACAGCCTCCTCAACATCAGGCTCAACGAGCTTCCAACATGCCTGATAGAAGATAGATGGGAAGCCATCGGGGCCAGAGACGCTGTTGGGATCAATTCCAAAAACAGTCTTCCTAACCTCCTCCATGCTTGGGATCTCGAAAAGGCCAACAAGGTTGACCGACTGAAGGATTGTAGGGAAAAGGTAAGCATTGGAAGGCACAAGTCCTTGTCAGAGGTGAAAAGAGTCTGAAAGTGAGCCACGGACGACTCCCGTATTTGAGACTCTTAAGTCAAGGATGACCATTATCCTCGATACAGTGGATAAATGACCCGATATGCTTCTGTCTTACAGACCCCTTATAGTACTTGGTATTGCGCTCCCCCTCAGCAATCCAGCGTACAACAACCTTCTGCTTCTATAAATTCTCCTTCATAAAGAGTCGGAGTTGGTACTCAGCGTGACAGCGCGCGCATCGCGGTCCTATTCTCCATAGTGGAATCCAGATCATATGCCCGCTAAGCATCCGCATACGCACTATGAGCTGCAAAAAGACGCTGAGAGAAGTCTAAAAAAATATCCCAATTCTACTGCTTCAGCCTGCGCCACAGGCTCTCGAGCTTGGCCTCCTGGTTGCGCATCCCGAAGAGTCTAGTCGGCTGTGGCCAGAAGGCTTTTACAGTGTCATGGAAGGAGTGGTGGTGAATCCACATGTTCTGGAACCGGAAAAAAGAGCGGCGGGGGGTGCTCGAGATATGACACCTGAGAAGGGGAGCTTGGTCAAACCTAAAACGAGAGAGGGGCGTGACGGTCGTAGTTGTAAACACCCTCGTCCATGCCTCAGAGACCAAAGCACGGTCGATCCTCTTCATAACTGCCCTTGCTCCAAAGTGAAGGGGGAACCATCACAACCAGTGTCAATTAGCTCACAATCCGCCTCCGCTTGGGCGAAGTCCCACATCTCCGCTGAACGATCTGACTGGCCACCAACGTACTCATCATGATGTATAAAGATATTGAAATCACCGCTGGCCATCCACGATAATCCCTACATACTCTCAACAATCTCGCGCATGGTGTCCCATAGATCATAGTGCCCGACCCTCGTACTTTTGGCATAAACCAGAGTGTGGAAGATGAGCTCAGGTAGATGGGCAACATAGAGCTCGACGTGTTAGAGTATACTGTAAAAGCTCGGCTTTCAGTTTCTGGCAATACCATTTTGAACTGGCAATCATATTTTTGGTCAAGTATTTGTGTTTGTAGTTTATTTATTTATGCTAGCATAAGTTCCTTTATTTTGCATTGTAGATAATATGGTTTGATGTGTCGAACAGAAAGATTATATTATCAATTCCTTGTAAAATATAAATTGATTCACAGTCTAGACAGAATTGAACAACCTGTTAGTAAAATACTGTAGTGTGATTTTGATTCATTTGATCTTTGACTGATGCATTATACTAGTACTTTGTAAGTATCGAATGGACCGCGGAGGATAAGATTATTTGGATACTGACAGACTAAATAATCTAGACCTCAGTAATTGATGCGTACTCTTAAGTCGTAAGATAATAAACAGGCTTATATATTCATTACTTATTTATTTGATTTATCAAGGGTGATTCCTATTTTATTAGGAAGACATACTCGATACTTTAGTAAATAATGATGTTTATATAATGTGCTGTTAAAATTATTTACGGTCACTATGTCCCGATCCGCTGGGTTGATGACATCCTGAAATGAGCTAAGGAAGGAATATTATGTTAAGCCATGCATGTGTACTAAATTCCAACATAATGATTAAGGAACTAGTGGTACTAATTTCATATATGCGTGATAAAAGAAATGGATTAAGTTTATTGTCAGCAATAAAATTAATCAATAGACGCTATATCTTAAGCATAGGGATGGTAAATCGATCAATTAAACTAATTAAATTAATTAAGTAGGAGGTTCAAATTTATTGAATAAATTTGATCTAAATGGGTAGATCAATAATATTACTCTAGTGGAATGTTAAATTATTTATTCAATTAGAAAAAAGGAATTAAATTATCTTCTAGAATTTTCCTAAAAAGTAGAAGTACATAATTCCTTCTAAAATATTAACAAGGTTAGAAGATATGAGAGTTTTCTAGAAGGGTAATTAAGTTGGAAGGGATTAGGACTTCTAAAAGAGAAAGGAGTTGCAGGATATTAAGTTTCCTAACCCTAATTGGAGAAGCCCATATTTAACACCTTCTTAAGGTCCCTAATGTAGCCTATAAATACACCATGTCCCAACCTCTATACACATGATTGTTCGCCGATTTTTTTAGTTCTAAAAAGGAGAGTAAAAATCGAGTTCTAAGTTGTAGAATTTCCTGGCCTCTTTTGAACATGGATCGTGTAGCCTGACAGCGATTTGTCAAGTACTGTAATTGGTAATCTTTTCGTAATGGAATGCTGTGCTTTGTTTTGTAATGCTACCCCAGTCTTTTTACTCATGCTTTGTACGATAAATAATTTACTTAAATAAGTACTACATTTTATTGATTGATTATTGCAACTAACACAATTTGCAAAAGAAAAAAAAAATCAAGTTGGTATATCAATTAATGGACTTTGCCCAATTTATTATTTTTCTTTTGTCGAGATCATTAACAAATGCGTTGTCTTTGCCTTTTATTTTTTACCTGAGAGCATAAACAAAGACGTAGATTTATATTTATCTGGTTGTACCCATTTAAAGAGTTTAAATTTTTGTACCCGAAAATGATCCTCTTTCTTACAAGCACTGATGTTGATATTTGATAAAGATTTATTTAATAAGATTCAAAATAATGTGATTATGGAGGATACAATATATGAGAACATGTGAGAATGATTATTATTTTTATTTTTATATTTTTACTGTGTGAAAATTACGTTTATGCCCCTTTAATTTCGCGAGTCTGCGTCCGCCCCTGTGTAATTTTATCAATCGAAAAAAATATATGGATGTGATTTTACATATTTTACATACAAATATTTTGGGCCGACAAAAAAAATATGATATTTTAAAAATATAATTTAAATTCGGCTGACTGTGCATGCATAACTGGAATCCCACTAATTTTAAATAATGAAAAGAAAATGCACAATTTGTTTTCTACTTTTATTTTTAAAATACGAAGGATAAACCCAAATAAAAGCTCCAACCCGATTTATGCCCACCTTTCCACGTGCCCACTTCAACTGTTTTCTGTCTCTCACCCACACACACGTACACAGATGCACATACAATATAATAATAATAACAATAATAATAATAATGATGATAATAATAATAATAATAATAATAGGAATAGGAAATAGGAATAATAACTTAAAAATCCCTATTCATCTCCTTCTGGGTCACGAAATCCAGATTGAGAGCGACTCCAACACCCTTTCTTCCCCGGCTGGCTAACCATATACTTGCAGGAACACGAAGCCCCCCACACACGCACATTGAGACAAAATTGCTCCGAAGCAGAGGGGAGAGAGAGAGAGAGAGAGAGGAAGGCAAAAGAGGTTTTTGGATATTCACCGCCTCAAACTCTTCTTCTCAATACCTCTCGCTTCTATGAATATCTCCCAATTTTTAAATATCAGGTTACCTGCTTTTCCTCATCCTAGTCCATTTATTATCTACGATTTTTCGTAGATTCGTTTCTTATGTTCGTTTATGTTATTTTGCCCTTTACAGCTGAATTTGAACTGGCACACACACCAGAAATATTAGTGTCTCCACCCTTCAAATTCGTCTGGGATTTCTCGTAGAAAAAAAAAAAAATCTAATCTTTCTTTGTGTCAGAACTAGCAATGGCCTTCGATGCAAACTCTGTACCCAAAGATTTACGCCCTCTGAACATAGTCCGAAACGCACCCCCCGAGGACCCTAGACTCGCCCCCGTGACCTCGTCCAGTAGGCCCATTGAAGGGTTCTACACAAGCCCACCCCCCGATTCATCCTGTAGGCCCATTGGAGGGTTCTACACAAACCCACCTGCTGAAATTGGGGGCAGCCCTAGCACCATGCCTGCCGTTTATTACCCACCCACACTGCCCGAAGGACCCTTTGTACCCTTAGGGTTCAATAACAACCCCACACCAGGAGTCGCTGGGTGGGTTCAGCAGGGCGTGCCCTTTCTGCATCCCCAAACGAGCCCCACATTAATCACTCATTTCAGGACGCTGGCTGTGGCCGGTGCTTCGGATCATGCCAGCAAGGATGGAGGTGGCAATGACTCAGCGTCAGGCCGCAAGGTCAAATTTTTGTGCAGTTTTGGCGGGAAAATACTTCCCCGATTGAGTGACGGCGCTTTGAGATACGTCGGGGGGCAGACGAGAATAATTAGCGTCAGGAGGGGTATCAGCTTTGGCGAATTCGTCCGGAAAATGGCGGATACGTATGCGCAGGGTGTGGCTGTTAAGTATCAGCTGCCGGACGAGGATCTTGATGCGCTTGTCTCTGTTTCATGTCCGGATGATCTTGAAAACATGATGGATGAGTACGAGAAGCTGGTCGAGAGGTGTCCGGACGGCTCAGCTAAGCTGAGGATATTTCTGTTTACGCCTTTGGAGGCTGAGAACGGGGGTTTTGCAGGGGTCGGGGATCTTCAGGATGGCGCGCAGAGGTATGTGGAGGCCGTGAATGGTGTTTTGGATGGATTTTGCTGCCATAATGGTAGCAACAGTCGTATTGTGAGGAAGGAGAGTATTGAGAGTGTTGTTTCGGGTCAGAATTCTTCGGACTTGAGTGGTACTGAAGGTGGTGATGGATTGTTAAGTAATCGTTTAGGGGAGGTTATCGGTATGCCATCTAGTGCTGGGTTGTCGCCCAAGGAAAATTATGTGAATCCGAATCCAGTATCATTTGCGGAGCCTTCTTTTGCCGAAACAGGAGTTCCAGTTGTTAGTACGGTTCCCAGTACAAGTCTTGCCGCTGAGCAAGATGTGGAGAGATCGATGCCTGTTAATGTGGTGAGTTATCCGCCAGTTTCAGCTTATGTCCAGGCCTATGTGGACCCTCAGCAGGAAAATATGAACCATGCACACGTTGTTCAAATTCCGTCCCAAATGGGATATCCTGCAAATTTTTTGGGGCCTGTGAGGCCTGTTTACGCTCAAACTCAACCGCCTATTCCAGCTGGCATTTCTCCACAACAGTTTAATCCCACTATGCACATGACAATAAATCCAGCTTTTACGAGCACGAATCCCAATGCACTTCCTACTGTCATCCAGCCACAACACATTCGTATGGAGCATTTTCCCGTAGAGAGGGTTGTGCAAATTCCTGCCGATCAAGGATACAGTGCACGCCCACCGCAGGTCCCGGTGCAAGGTGGGGCCCACAATTGGCATCAGGCTTCACATCCAGACCAGATAGCTTTCTCAGAGGGGGCTTTGTCTCCTCAACAACAGGTCGTGCTTCCTGAAAAGGTTCCGAGGTTAGAGGACTGCCACTTGTGTCAGAAAGCATTGCCACACGCCCATTCGGACACGATAGCTCAGGAGAAAAACGTTCCTGCCAGCACCTTATCCGATTCGAGGCCGATTTATTCGAGTGTTCACTTTGACGGTCGAGGACGGCCGATGATCAGGCCCTTGGTGCCAGTGGCAGAAAACAATGTGGAGCAACTGGCTGGTGGAAATCTTCTGACAGAGGGAATAACGGAGCCGTATGTAAACGATAAAGCCGTCCCCCAGAAGACAGGAAATCTCGAACCTTCTAAGACGACACTGCAGCAGGGCTTTGTGATGAGTAATGGGGTCCAATATCCTTATGGCATGTTTTTGGGCAATGCACCCCAGTCTAGCCAGTCTAATGCTGTACAAAATGTAATTGTTCAGCCTCAACCCCAAGTAAATAATGGTTTTTCCCCCATTGGTATTCCGTTACAGATTAATGATTATGTTCTTCACGAATCCCCTAGAGCCTATGCAGACAAAGTTTCTGGTGGAGTTCCTATGGACGAACCTTCCTCATCGGCGTTGGAGCACCTAAGACAAATTGATGAAAGGTTGGAAGATCTCCAAATACGGCCTTCTGAAGTGTTATCAAATAATGAGCATAATAACAAGGTAGTTGGAGATCCTCGCAAGGGAGACACACATAATATTACATCTGCCGAACTCTGTGAAACGACTAAGCCTCCTCCTGTAGGTAGTCCTAACATGTATCCTTATTCATCCCAAGGGATAAGTCATTTGCACACGAGTGATACTTCTGGAAATACTGTGTATTCTGGTATAGAGCTTCCTCGTGCAGCAGAAATAATCTCGCCTGGTAGTGAATGGAAGGACAACAATGTTGCATGGCCTCAGTCTAAAATGGTTGGTTTTGAGGATATCACTGATAACTCGACATCGCTATTTAGCAACCAGGATCCTTGGAGTATGATGCCTGATACTCATAAACCCCCTCCCAAACCTGAAAAAATTCAAATAAGAAAGGACACAGGCCAAAGAGAGGACAATCGTCTCTTGAATACTGGTGAAACACAAAGAATTTTGTCCTTAGAGAGCCCACTGGCGGATGGAGGATACCAGCAGTCTAGCAATGGAGAGCTTCGTCTGGACCATAGTTTGTCTAATGAAGGTCTGAATATCTATCATTTTTGGGATATTTGTGTTTTTGTACTTTTTTTGATGTTGTTTGTTTGCTCATGTATATCTCGTCAACTCGTAAAGGTTCTGCAGAGGAACTAATAAAACAAGAACTTCAAGCAGTTGCTGAGGGTGTAGCTGCCTCTGTTCTTCATTCATCCATCCCTTCAAATCCCGATCTATCTCCACCTACAACCCAGCAAAATGGTGGTGTTCAACCTACTAATGTTGAAATACAGCACAAAGACAAACTTGAAGTTAGTGATCCCTCCTTCATTCTCTTCACATAGTTGCTTTTGCATGTGAAGTTTGAAAAATGTTATGAGTTTCTGCAGTTCAGTATTTGATGGACTAACTTTTGGATCATGATTTTTCCAGGAAATCAAGACTAAATTGCCGGACAAGATAAATTTTGGGTTTCCTGCATCAGGCATGGGCCGGCTACAGGTTTTCTCTTCTCAACAAAAATAATAGAATTCTTTCCTATGTTTAAACGACACTGTCAACTACTAATCTCTCTCTCTCACTGTAATTTTTGTTGCTCATATAGATTATTAGAAACAGTGATCTGGAAGAGTTGCGGGAATTGGGTTCTGGTACTTTTGGTACTGTTTATCATGGAAAGTGGAGGGGCACCGATATTGCCATAAAACGCATCAATGACAGATGTTTTGCTGGGAAGCCTTCTGAGCAAGACCGCATGGTGAGTTCATTTGCTAGTCAGATTGATTATCTTGTTTATCATTTTAGCCCACAGTTGATATTTTTTATATATTTATTTAGAGAGATGATTTCTGGAATGAGGCCATCAAACTAGCTGACTTGCACCATCCAAACGTGGTTGCTTTTTATGGGGTTGTTCTAGATGGTCCTGATGGTTCAATTGCCACTGTTACTGAATACATGGTGAATGGTTCTTTGAGAAATGCTTTACAGAAGAGTGAGAGGTAGTTCATTTGAACTCTATCCTGTAATTATGAAGTTTCAAATCTGATTGTGTATGTTGTTTATTGAGGATTTCAATTTTAAATTCTTTTATAATGAGGTATTAAATTAATCACATCTTATTTCAATGTGCTTAGTGATAGGTCATCTTCTCTATGTTCCAAAATTGCGTATCATACTTACTACATGAAGTAGAACTCATACTTGACCAATTCATGCATTTAAACTACTCTTACCAGGAATCTTGATAAGCGCAAGCGCCTTTTGATTGGAATGGATATCGCCTTTGGAATGGAATACTTGCATGGAAAGAATATAGTTCATTTTGACTTGAAAAGTGACAATCTGTTGGTCAATCTCCGTGATCCACATCGACCAATATGCAAGGTTAGTGATCAAATGTTGTATGTGGCTTCTTTTTGTGTAATGTCTTTTTGATGTATGTTACCACGGTCATCTTTTTATTTTTTAGTTAGGTATATTGTGCTTGATTTTGATTTGAAGTGTATGATATCTGGTCCATTGTTCTTTAATGGGCTCGTGATGTTGTAGTTAAATATTCCCATGCAGTAATCTAATATCCAAATACCCGATGAATACATGTGTAATGTTTTTGTGGTCATTGATGTTTTCTTGTTATGGTTTACCATGTTTTGGGATTGTTCGGTCTCGTAAATGGTGGTCTTTAAAGGTCATTCTTGACCTTAAATGTGTGGAATTGAGGTTTTCATTTCTCTTATAATGTTCTGCTATGCTATCCTGAAGTTATATGTTGAGGTAAGAAACTTGTCCAAATTTACATTCCAATTTTGTGCTTTTTCCCATTAGTTTCTGTGAGCTGGTTAATATAGTAATGATATAAGCAGAGAACAATTGCGAGAAATTACACATATTACTAGAAAACATGGTTAGTATATGTGGTGCTTGCAGCTCATCTGCTTTAGTTTCCAAGTACTCAAACTCAAGACAACTGGTCTTGGTTCACATGAATTGGGACCTAATGTGATTATGCCAATAACTTCCTATATGTACTCTCTTTTGTAGTATGCAAGGGTATGTTGTTTTTCTTTTTTGTTTTTTCATTTTTGTTTTTCTTTTTTTGTTATAAACTTGAGAGTTGTTGTTGTATATATTAAGCTAAATGACATTATAAGCATATGCACATAGCTTGAGCCAAACTCATGAACCACCTTCACCACTTCCTAGTCCCATAATCTGAAGGTAAGGTTACATAGAAATCACTCAAACCTTTTAGTAGAGAAAGATGCCTCAGCTTGTGCTAAAATGTTCTCTTTATTAAAAAATATTCACCAGCTGTTCTGATCTTAGTTGGCAACTTTAAGCAAAGCATACACGTGGTACTAATCTTGTTTCAGATCGGATATTGCTTATACTTAAAGCCTTAAAGGCTTCAAATAAATGAATCTGTTGATGATAGCTTATATCATTTTTTTATTTTTTTTCCTTGTGTGTCTAAATTGTTGAAACTATTTTGCCAAAAGCAAGAGCATGAAATGGATAAGAATCAAACCTGCACCCTGATTGTGTAATGTTTAGTATGATTGTGAGGCAGTGAGGATGGGATTTACTAAAATGTCATGCCAACAGCATTAGTGTTGCTCTCTAAAATGGATAAGAGTATATGAAACAATCTGCATCGTTATTCTGGAAGTATCATCCATCAGAAGATACGAAATGGATATCGAACTCAAGGTTTTAGATATGGTTTGAGTCTGAAGCATACATTAATGAATCAAGTGAGTTACCATTTAAATGGTTTATTCTGATTCGTTAGACCTAATAGATTGGTGTGTTGAGCCAATCTGGGAAACATTGAGAGAGCAGAGGCTGTTAAATTGCTAGAAGCTCTTAACTTGTTCATCGTATAAAGTGGGAATTTTCATAACAAGAAGGAAACTTTCAGGGTGATCAGATTCACGCACCTAAAATTCTTTTGTTTTAGTGAGAAGGAATTTGAGATTTGTTAATGAATATGTGATGGAAATATAATGATCAAAGTTGATTTGGTATGAAAATGGTAAAATGATAGAAAATGTTTCCATGAGATTTGTCGTTAAAATTATTTGAGTTGACGTTTGTGAATTTCATAAATGCGTAATTAATGATTGGTAATGATGAGTTGAAGTGATTGGTGGGAGAAAAATTGAAAGTAGGTGAATAGTATAATTTCCAAAAATAAAATGGTATCCATTTGCGCCCTAAATATTTTATGTTAAGTATTTACTTGACTTGAAAGTGAGGTAAATATAATTTACCTACTAAGTTGGTTTACACTGTTGAGTTTATCCTAGTGTTTAATCTCACATTATCGGACATCATATTAACAATGTCCATTAGTGAAGGGATTGTTAGCCCAAACAAGAAGCTTTGTGAGAAATCCAAGTACACTGATAATTGATTCCAGTTTCAGTTGAAAAAAATGTTTCCTAATCTACGTTTGTGTTCTATACATATAAATGCTTATTGTCAAATCAGTCTCAACTTATCTCAACTGACTTGTGCTTTCCACAACATCTGCCTTTCGAAATTTCTTGTCTGTCCAACTAACTAAACCCAATCACTTGATCAACTTTTCGTATGGCTACCCATAAGACTTATTTTGCTGACTTTAGTATTGGAGTGACTTTGCTAGACAATTTATAGGTAAATATATATGGGGTCTAGAAATGTGAGATTTTGATATATACGCTCCAAATCTATGTTTGCTTAGAGTAATATCTTTCCTATATGATACACGTGGCTCTTTTAACCAAGATTGTAATGGGATGAATGGAACAAGACAAATGGCGCCTTCATTATCTATCGAAATGTATTTGCATGGACATGGTGTAAAATACACTTATTTTACTCGGTCGTATATATATGTCAAGTGCATTTTTGAATGAATTTGTAAATCATTATTCCTTCTATTCTGTATTAGTTCAAAATGCTTTACTATGAAAAATGCGTGTCCTTTTAGTCTCCTTTCTTTATGATATATATACATTTTATCGACAAAAGCTCGTCTCATTCTCTTAATGCATATAGGTTGGTGACTTGGGGCTGTCAAAGGTGAAATGTCAAACCCTAATATCTGGTGGGGTCAGAGGAACTCTTCCATGGATGGCCCCAGAGCTTCTCAATGGGAGCAGTAGCCTGGTGTCAGAGAAGGTTTGACTTTTTTTTTTTCTTCACATATTTAAAATTTTCGTATAAGAACCTATCAAATGTGAAGATTCCTGATTTGTAAGTGGCAACAAATATTTCTTAGAGAGCAGCATTATATATAAACTACTCCTGAGGGTTTTGCCTATTTAAGAAAAAGGATTAATGACACTCTAGTTTAAGATTGCAAATCATTCCTTTAAATTTTTATTCTAGTTTATTTTTTTTGGATGCAACGGGAAAAGAAAAAGAAAATAGAAGAAAAAACCGGGTGTTTTATCAATTCTTGTTATATTGGTCGTTTCTTGCAGGTTGATGTGTTTTCATTTGGAATCGTAATGTGGGAACTCCTCACAGGCGATGAACCTTATGCCGATTTGCACTATGGAGCCATTATCGGTATACCTAAATATCGATCATATCACGTTTTTCATCATTATCCTTTTCTCTCTCTCTAATATTATGTTTCCATCTTTAAACATGTTAGGTGGTATTGTGAGCAACACCTTGCGGCCCCCTGTGCCCGAAACATGTGACCCTGATTGGAGGGCTCTGATGGAGAGGTGTTGGTCTTCCGAACCATCCGAAAGGCCAAATTTCACCGACATTGCCAATGAATTACGAGCCATGGCCACTAAGCTCCCGTCTAAAGGACAGCCCCAGCAGCAGCAACTTCCATCAAACAATCCTCAAATCAAAGGCTAATTTAAGTTTCATGTTTTATTTTTTTTGTCTGGTCAGCATGTTATGTAGGTTGGATTATCCAAATTTTGCTCAAGTTTCATATAGATAGAAAAGGAAAAATGGTCTGATTACCAAAATAATTATTATTGACTTCTGATATGCAAATGCTCTGGGGGATTATAAATTATTGTAGTTTGGGGTTATCTTGGAGTTGGAAGGAGAGGCTATTTGACCTGTGTTTGACTTAGCAAGTTAGAAACGGTTATCAGAAAAGGATAAATCCAGAATTAGTTTACTTGTCCGGGCTTCAAGCATTTGAACATATTTTCTACTAGTTGTCTTGGTTTTCATATAGAAAGTCTTGCTTTTGTTTAAACTAATTTTCTGTTTTGAACGAGAATCGATATTAGTTAAATGTGTTTGCATAAAAATGCGAAAAGGTTCAATTATTTTACTTTGTAAAGATAATATTGTTCATCGTGTGTAAAAGATCATAATATTGGTACATTGTAAAACATACTATGATTTACAATCTTGATAGAATTGAATAAATTGTTGTGAACGATTAGAATGTAATTTTGGAATTAATTGATCTTGATTAATGAATTATAATAATAGATTTAGGAAAATTATACTAAGGAGAACTACACCAATACGATTTATTGAATGGACGATGGAAGATAAGTTTATTTTAGGGGAATTTTGTTTTGTACTGTATGATTAGAAATTATTTGTAAATATATGAAAGTAACATATCTTATTGCATGTGTACCAAATAAATGCTATTTAATTGTACAAATGCAAATGGCAGGATTTCAGTTACCAAAATTGAATGGCAACTCATCCTTGATTTGCGCTAAACGTTTGGATTTATCAATTTCTGTTAAAAAAATACACACACACACACACTTATATATATATATATATATATATATATATATATATATATAGGGGGTGGATCCAATGAGTCCACCCCTTAAAATGTGCACGTGAGACCATCATCTGAGCCGTCAGATCTGCCTTTCAGATCTACGCTCAGAATCAAACATATAAATATAACAAATCAAACAGAATGAAAACACATCTCCATCTCCGCTCGCAGCAAAATCAGAAAAATATCTAAACTTTCCTTCTCAGTCACGATTCTGTAGGATTTCCTTCTCATACTCGATTTCGATTTCATCGACTAATTAGGTTTAACTTTTTAATCTATTCGATAGACAAACTCAACTGCGGTTCATAAAGTTCATCGGATTTATCACACAAAATCGGCGACGGCGACGGCGACAGCAACATCAAATGGAGATCGAAGCAACTCCAGTTGCGACATTAATGGAAGGAGGTATAGTGACATTTTTTTCCAAATTGATTCATCTAAATTTAAAATAATCAATGCTGATGAATTATACATTGATGAAATCGAGTTATTTAATAAGAGTCGAGCACATAATATTGAAAAATATGTTGTTCGTGCTTATCTGCAATTTTGGTTTGTGGAAGAATCTCTGTTTTCCGACATAAATATTAAATATGCTGCGATTTAGAAATACATATGCATGTAGAAATAACTAAATATGCAACTGTCAATTGATGAGCATGCAAGAAAATTGTCTGTTGCACAGGTCTGCTTATACATTAGATCGATATATATAAAACAAACTTTGCATGAAAGAATAACTAATTGTGCATGAAAGAGTAACTAAAATTGCATACGTATATCAATAAATATGCACGTAATAAATATGCATGAAATATCTTGGCAAGAATGCACGTTATAACTGCAGTTTCATTCAATGAGTCATTCTGGGATTATAACTATATATGCAACGCTTTAGTTATAAAAATGCAAATCGGTTGAACTAAGAATGCAAATTTATTGAACTAAACATGCAACAGATCTCAAACTTAATTTTCTTCTTATATTTTGTAGTAGGTACTGCTCATGAGGGATCTCAGATTCAGTTGGTGATATCACCAAATTTAACAAAGTATTGGATACCAATCGTCCAACCAGATATAAAGCCTAAAGTCGGTATGCTGTTTCCAAACCTTGATATTGCAATGGATTTTTACAGAAACTATGGGGCAAACGGTGGATTTGATGTACGGACTAGCACAAAAAAACGATTTAGAAGTGGCGTAGTAAGTAAACAGTATATAGTTTGCAATAGACAAGGATTTAAGCCAGAAATTGAACAAAATACTTCAAAGAGTATGCCACAACTACCTCCTGAGTCATGTGGAGTTCAACGACAACGTGTGTCGAAAAGGGTTGGTTGCAAAGCTCGAGTAATATTTGAGTATGATGGAAATGGATACAAAATTGCAGAATTTGAAGAAAGACATTGCCACAGTCTAGTACTGGAGACACTTTATCTCAATGCAAATCGGCAATTGAATTACGGACACCGGAAATTTGTTCTTAATTGTGTGAAAGCAAACATTGGACCAGCTAAAACCCATAGGTTATATAGGGAAATGCTTGGGGGATATGATAACGTTGGTGCTCTCGCAATTGATTTCAAGAACTATAAGAGAGAACTTATGACTTACATGTCTGGAGCAGATGCGCAACTCATCATTCAGAAATTCCACAACAAACAAGAAGTATGCCCAGACATGGCATTTGAGTATGCAGTTGATGGAAATAACCAATTAAGTAGGATATTTTGGGCAGACCCAATTTCAAGAAAAAATTACCTGATGTTTGGAGATGTCGTCTCATTTGATGCAACTTACAACACTAACAGGTACAATTCAGTTCTACTCAGCTCTTATTAGTAACTATTGCATATGAAAACAACAAATATCTTATCGATTTAGTTGTGAAAATACATTTCTGCTATATCTAAATTGTTATGATATATCTGATTGTTACTGTTGTGGATGTCACATTAAATATGCAACAGGTATGAAATAATTTAGCAATTTAATAGTTTGTGATAATACAAACTATATATGCAACATTATAGAACTATTCTTGCATGATTATAAAACTAAATAAGCATTTTGGTATCAAATAAGTGATTTTGTTTTGAGACAGCAGTCTGCATAACTGTCTGCCAAAGCTTGTAGCTATTTGAAACTAATATTGCAACATAAGACAACTAAGTATGCATGAAGACAGACTTAAAAAATGCATATGTTTAAATTTTGTGAGACCTAATTAAATTTTGTTATTTTTTTATATACAGGTACAAAATGGTGTTTGTCCCATTTACTGGAATAGATAACCATAAAAAGTGTGTAACATATGCAGCTGGGTTGATAGTTAAAGAGGATGAAGAATCATATATTTGGCTGTTGGAAAATTTCTTGAAGGCTATGGGACATGAACCATATTACGTTGTTACCGACCAAGATCCTGCCATGAAGAATGCTATCCGGGCAACTTTCAAACGTGCAAGACATCGTTTATGCATGTGGCACATTATGGAAAAGGTAAATGTAAAGGTTGGTCCTACTTTAGCAAAGGATAATACCTTCATCAAGAGGTTAAATGACATAGTCTGGAATAGTTATATTACCCCTTGTGAATTTGAAGAAAAATGGGGAAATTTGATGAATGATTTTGCCTTAACCGAAAATCAGTGGTTTCGTAATCTGTTTGAGATTAAAAAGTCATGGATACCAGCATATTTTAAAGATGTGAAAATGGGCGGTTTGCTTAGGACAACATCTAGATCAGAAAGTGCAAATAGTTGGTTTGGAAGTTACATATCTCCACAAGCAAACTTAGTTGAGTTCTTTATGCATTTTGAAAGTGCAATGGATGCACAAAGGCATGTTTCACGTAAGATGCATCATGAATGTGTGTCTTCGCCTGCTGAATGCAAGACACCATTAGAAATTGAGAAACATGCTGCAAAGGTTTATACTAAAACAGTATTTTCTGAGGTACAAACAGAAATTGAAGCAGCATGTTTTCGGTGTGTGCCTATCCACATCCAAAATGAGAATGATGTGACAAGATATAAAGTTGTAGAAGCTAGTCGTGATGATATTGACTTCATTGTAGATAAATGTCGGGATTCTGTAAATTGCAGCTGCAAGATGTTTGAGCAATTTGGATTATTATGTCGTCATATATTAATGTTGATCAAGGATTTAGATAGAATACCTGATCAGTACCTTCTCAACCGTTGGCTCAAAGCTGCATCTTCCAGTAGTGAGTTTGAAAATGGAAAATTAGCTGCAGTAAATCACAAAAGTCAGCAGAATGCCTATATAAGCAAAATCTGGTCTGATTTTCATTGCTGTGTATCGCTTGCTCAAGACGACGAGAATAAGTTGGCTAGATTATCAAGAATTCTAAATGAGGAAAAGAATTACTTGTTGAGTGGACGGCAAGACAGGGGTTCAGTCTTAAGCAAAGAAGCAGTTATGGAAGCTTTTTGCGGTTCAGTTTCAAACTTGGATGTAAATATCCTTCCTCCAAAGCAAGCAAAAAACAAGGGAAGTGGAAGCAGCACAAGAAGCCGCTTGTTGTCACAACGAGAAAAGTCAATCAAAGCAAGCCAAAGGCTGAAAAGGCGTTGTGGAAAATGTGGAGAAATAGGAAATCATAATAGTAGAACTTGTACTAAGACCAATGAGAATTTTGATTGTAACACATAGTTATTTGATGTTTTGATATCAGATATTATTTGATGTTTTAAATTGCTTCTGTTATATAAATATGCATCTCACTTACACTAACTATGCATCGTCTGTGCACTATTTATGCAACGAAAATTACAATAAAGTAGCATCATGTTTATAGTAATCATGCAAGAATTCAGTAAAATAGTTTTTGCATCTCACTTACACTAACTATGCATCTTTTGTACACTATTTATGCATAATATTACAACAAAATAGCTACAGGTTTACTGTAGCAATGCAAGAATTCAGTAGATAGTTTTTACATCACACTTACACTAACTATGCAACTTATGTACACTATTTATGCAAACACATTACAATAAAACAGCAACAAGTTTACAATAACCATGCATGAATTCAGTAGATATTTTTTACATCTCACTTACACTAACTATGCATCCACTGTACAATATTTATGCAACTTATAAAGATAACTATGCAAAACTATAGAATAAATATACATCAATATTTACACAAACTATGCATCTTCTGTATAATATTTAGGAAACAAAATTACAATAAAATAGCAACAAACAATTCAGTAGATAGTTTTATTCATCTTTCCAATAACTATGCATCTCATTTACACTAACTATGCATCTCGTAAACAATATATATGCAACATAATTATAATAAAAATAGCAACAAAATTTACAGTTATCATGCCAGAATTGAGTAGATATTTCTTACCTCTTTACCATTTATGCTTTTCCTAATCTCTAAACATGCACTGTTCTACAATATACACCCAACCGGTTTATATAAAAGGCTAATCTGAAACATCCTTAAGCTAGAT